GCTAGTGCAGTGTATAGCTCCAGTTTTTTTTGCGCAGATCGTAACGTTTGCTGAATAGGGAGATCGTTTGCTCATAAAGAATTGCTGTTTCACTTGGATTAAACAAAATATTGGAAAGCATCCGCATTTTCATTTCATTCATTTCATTTATTGCATAGGGTAACCCTATGATAACTGCAACAATAACAAAAAAAAAAAAAAAGAACATACGAAACCAGAACACAACAAAAATGGAATCATGAGTGATAGCTCGTGACCAACCCGTGTTAGTAACAACAAATTACCGAGACTGTAGATAGTTCCTTAAAACAGACTTAAACGTAGACAACTTTGCAGGAAACAGGCGTTTTCTAATAAGCTTGTCCATGTCATTGATTACACGACATGTAAAAAAGTGTCGGCGAACTTTGTGTTTTGATCTGGAGATAATCAATTTTCTACTCCCTCCCCTTGTATTAGAAATCCTGGTAGGAAAAAATACCCCGAAATCCAAGCCACAATGACCATACGCAATCTTATGTGCCATGAGAAGGTCAAACTTACGCCTTCTATAGGCAAGGGAAGAAAGCCCTAATTCAGTGTTCCTAGTCATACCATTCGGTATGAGATCATATCTGAAACCAATTCTTCGGATGAAAAGTTTGCGTGTAAAACTATTCTGAACTCTTTCCATATAGTCAATCGTTTTATGCAAATGAGGACAAAAAATAACAGTTCCATATTCAACCATAGGTCTGATGAACGATTTGTAAGCTTTCAATAGAGAAGCCGTGTCATTAATTGCGAAAGCCCTGAACAAGTTATATACCGATCTAGTGGCTTTATCTGCTATCAACTTGCAGTGATCATCGAAGGTGAGGTCGCTTTTGACCATGAAGCCCAGATCTCTTATAGAATCAACTTCTTGAAGATAAGTTTCCCCAAGGACATACTTAAAGTTTGGATTAGATGTCTTTGGACCGATTTTATTTTTTTTTGATTTTCACGCATTTATTTCCCATTTGTTCATGTCAAATCGTATTTTCTGCGTAATTCACGCACCGTTGTACTTTTCTACTTACTTATCAAGACTTTCTCCAAATGTTGTGTTTTTCTTGTCAATCATTCAATCGTGAATGAAAGCGTGAGAATCTCAGGTTAGTGCAAATAGGCGTTCTGATTGTACGTGGCTTAGATGAGCTTATTTCCGCGTTCATATCACCATAGCAATGCCATATTACATAAATGTAGCAGACATTATGCATCCAGTTGTTTCGTCCCAGTCATTCAATTCTTTGTGTCTATTTATCAAGAGCATTACATACCTTTTCGAAGAGGTGTAGAAGGAAGGGCTTGTTCTGCTGTCTTGCCTAGACTGTATAAATTCGCAAAACTAACTTCTCAGTACGTTTCAAGAAGCAAACAGGCTCATCGCGCTTTTTTCTTCAAATCCATGAAGGGACCGGCCAGACTATTCGAGGAGGTGATTCCTGCGACTCCTGTAATTCCTGCAATTCTTGTGATTCCTCTACTTCCGATGTACCGCAATACGGAGCGCTTTGCAAATTCGGACATACATTGTTTTTCCGCAATATACATTGTTATGGGAAGCGCAGCAATCACAGGAATCGCAGGAAGTGCGAGAATCACAGGAATAGTATGGCCGGTCTCGAAGTGAAAGTTCTCGCGACATGCGAGGGCAAGTTCTCATTGAAGGTTTCATTTAGTCGGCGCGCCAAGTGGTCCTAGCACGACGGCGCGTTCAGAGCACGTGAGTCGGTGCAATCAGCTGAGCCGTTGTCGTGCACTCGAACGGCTGTCATATGTTTGCACTTTGTTACACTTTTGAGAACGTCGCAAGTCTTTCTTTATCCCGAAATTATGCCTAATGCGTAGACAAAATGTACCTCCTTAGGATTCGGAGTTCTTTTTGGGGCGGAAGTAGGACGGATGAGGGTTTTTTCGTTGGGCTGTTTGCGGTTCGTCCTAGGGCTTCGTTGGGCGGCGTTTCGTTTTCGAAATAAATATGCGAGAGATTGCTATCTGCCTCAGTACTTCATAATAAGAACCTCGATCTCTTTATACCTTTTTACCTTTTACGGATGTTGTTGTTACATCGCAGACATAGTTTTGGCTTTTTTTTTGCTTTCCATAGTGTTTCTGAATATTTGTAGCGATATCGATGATTCTTCAGAAATCTGCTAATATAGGTGCATGAGTCTAGCATATTATATCCTCCCAAAAGGGCAGAAAATATGAAAAGTCTGATTAGTACATTAATCATGTATTGCGAAATTACCCTGGCAGGTATTTGAAACCTTGAATAATACCAAGCATTGCCTTCCTTATATCACTTCCATTTGATTATGGCAGTCATTCTTGCCACGAAGTTCCTAAAAACTGTTATCTTTTATCTTGAAAGAAAGTATGATGTGGCACATTGTGCTAAGGAATCGTATTTTTTAGCTCTACTTAAAACGTGATCAGCAATGGTTGCGCGATACAAGCTGATAAACAGAAACATGCAGTCAATAACTTTTTTCTCATTTTCGAGTCCTTGAAATGTCTAAAAAAACAGGAAATGAGATTTTTTGATTCACATTGAAATTCGATTTCAGTCTTGGTTTTAGGCCGATTTTTCTCTACGGAGAGTCATAATTTTGGGGTTTATTTTTTGGTTTTATTTTAGATGATATTTTTGGCATGTGTGATGGGGCGGTTATCATTTGATCATAAAAATTATCATAAGGTAAAACTAAGTGTAGGTAGTGGCTGGTCCCTTTTTTCAAACTTATATAACGATGATTTTCGTTGTTTTTGTATGAGGTTATGGTTAGGATCCGGCATGAGTTCGTTTTTAGGCTTCTTGAAAACGATCTCGCTCTTGACTTTCGTGGAATTTTACAAAGTCTCCTTTGACTGTCAGCTCTCGTAAAAAAACCCTCGAAAAGGAAACGTTGACAAAGAAATCAATTTTTGGCCACAAAAACGATATCTCATTTGCTTTTTCGCCTCAATAACGAAGTCCAGCCTGCTTCCTTACGATCTGCGCCAGGCTCTGCCTATGGTTCAATCTATTAGGTAACTCAAACGATGATAAACAAGGGTACCTCGCGCCAGTTTGCACGCATCTCTTTTGCGTCACAGCGGGCGCAAGTCTCTGGCTGTCACCTGCCCTAGTTGAACTTTGAAAACTCTGAAACGTTGCGCACTTATAAAGGGAATAGTTCTAATTATCATTCACATAGTTTGTCCTACTGAACATTAAACTCTTCTCATTAAATTTTACTATTTATTTTCAGCGAGAGATCGAGGTAAGACACAATATTTTCATAATTTGCTTCATCTGTATGTTGTCTATCTCTTCAACATCGATTTTGTTTTTGTATTCTTTTTGCTACAAAACTACCAAAAGTTCACTTGAAGTCGTTGTGATGTATTATGTCAATATTATCACTAGTCATCTGCAGCTGTCTGTCGATTGCAGTGACTATCGGATTTGCGCTCATTAGTCAACGTTTTGAGAGGCAACCTTCCCCCCTCCAACCATTATTTTATTTATTTACAGTGTGGTAAACAAGAGCTCCCTAAGAGTTACAGCCGGCGTAAGTGCTTTGTTTACCAAAATGCGCGCTGCTGATTTGAATTTCGCTAGTCTCTGCCCTGGCTTCGTCTGTTTTTGACGTTTCCATAGTGATTGTTGACTTTCTGTTGAAGAAGTTGTTCAGTTGAATCAGCAAAAAGTTGACTTGGGAAGACCATATTTAGCGAAGATTCGAGTTGTGGAACCAGTAAAGCTCCAAATGATAAATAATTGCAATTTCTTTGCGTCAGTGCCAGTCCGTTCATAATCCCTTTTTGCTGTCAAAACTTCTTCAGTCTCGCATTCATCACTCTTGTGAATGACATCGCAAAAGAATGATAAAGAAAACGTACGTCAGCAGATTGATTAATAGTCTTGTGACTGAGCGACGCAATCACGTACTTGACAAAAAAAAATAGCAGTGTGTTTGTCAGTTTGTTTCTAATCCGTATCTGTTTCTTATACTTTCACCTCATTTGCTCTTCACTTTTCGTTCAGTAAATGTCGCTAATTTGTGCGACGGGTTATCCTTTTTGTATTGTTACATAAGAGAAATTTGAAGCAAGATTTGGAGCGTTCATTGACTTTCTCTTTTAATTATTTGCGCAGAAAGTGAATCTAGTCAGTAGCAAGCATTTATGATTGATGAAGTACTTATCTGTTATAATCCTTTTGCTGTGGTTTCTTCTATAATAAAGAAAAAAGAGTCATTGTGCTGCACTGATGTGCATCTAAGCGTCATCATACTTTCGCGAATAGAATACAAAGTACGGTCGTTCTTCTTTTTCAAGTGGACAATGACGTGCGAAAATCAAAGACAAATGTTTTGTGCGATGGAAGCGAGGCTGTGACAGGGGTCAATATTCATTTGGACGCTGACGCATCTGCTAGTTTTGCCCTTGTCCTCATTGAGGCAAAGCGATCCTTTTTTTTGCATTTTATGACTTCGTCTCAGTTCAAAATAGGAATAGTTATTTGCCACACATATGCGATTTTGAATAGGTTAGCCAGCGTATATGACTTTTCAAAGTATGTGACCGAATCACACACACTATTGATCTTTATCTTCATCGACCATTTTTAACGCCGATCATTTGAATTCGAATTTATGGACAGTCCAGTTTTTTCGATCGAGAATCCAATGAAGCGGCATTAATCAAAGTTTCAAGAAAAAACAACTCACCAGATGTGCTTCAAAAAACCAATCGATTTGGGAAGGAAAGAATGGTATTGGAAAACATCCCACACTAGACCATTCCTTAATTCACTGTGACCACAACATTTAGAGTTCACCGAATCATATAGGCACCCGCCATACTTGATCCGCTTGATCCACGTTGATCCGCTTCGTGCAAAACGCGCGTCAATAATTGGTCATTTGGCGTCGCGTACAGCGAATTTGCCGTAACCATACAAAATTCCTCTTCACCTACACGACGCCAAATGACAAACTGCTGTGTGCGCGCGTTTTGCCCTAAGCGGATCAAGCGGTTCAAGTATGGCGAGTGCCATAGCTATCAAGCTCGCATGCTTATGTCGCTGATTTCTCTATGGAAATATTTTTTTATTCCTGTTCGTCTATTATGTTGTCGTCCCATTGTTAATGGGTTTGATTGATATATTTCTGTTAACAGACTATGACCGAAATGGCATCAACGTCTGCTGGCGCTCTTCGAGCATTAGCGATGGAGCTGAAAAATATCGAATCGCAACCGCTCGAAGGTTTTACCATCTCGGCCAGCGATGACAACCTTTTCGTTTGGACAGTAGGAATTTATGGTCCTCCCAACACATTGTACCAGGTAATTTTCGTATATTTCTCAGAACAAGCAATTTCGTGCCTTTGAAAATTGGCAAATTCATTTTCCATCGTCCTATAAAAGAATGGATGTGTCAGCAGATTTTTCACGGATGTTATTGCTTTTTACATAGCTCTAATATGTAAATTTTAGGGAGGATATTTCAAAGCTGTGATACGTTTTCCGCCAAACTATCCATACTCGCCACCTTCTATGAAATTTTTGACCAAAGTCTGGCATCCTAACGTTTATGAGGTATGCAGTCTTTTTCATACTTTTACCTGCTTTCTCATTTCTACCGCTTTCTCATCTAGTAAAAGTATCTTCTACTTACAGAACGGAGATCTTTGCATTAGTATTCTTCACCCACCAGTTGATGATCCCCACAGTGGCGAGTTACCATGTGAGAGATGGAATCCCACGCAGAGTGTGAGGTTAGTACACTTCAATTCCATGTATGTAACAAGCATCATATTCTTATACCATTTCAGAACCATCCTTCTATCCGTCATTTCCCTACTAAATGAACCTAACACTTCCTCTCCAGCAAATGTTGATGCTTCTGTTATGTATCGAAAATGGAAAGATGGCACAGATATGAGCTATGCTGATGTGATTAGGTGAGTCCTGGCGCACCTGGTCTATCAATCGATTTGTATGTCAAACGCAGTTTCTCAGGAGGCAAGTAGAGCAGTCGAAAGAGGAGGCACGAAAGGATGGTGTTACTGTTCCTGAAACTCTCGAAGAATACTGTATAAAGTTCCACCCACAAAGCTGCGAAGATCAAACTATGGAATTGCTAGATTTAGGTTGGTTTTCTAAGTGATGTCACTTCAGCTGGAGTTTCAAACCTTTTATTTGATACATCATGCTTTTTCCATTATTTTCTCGTTTCCAGACGATGATATGTATGATTATGGAGATGATGAAAGCGACGATGAAAATGACTATGCGGAAGAAGACGAAGACAGTGGACAAGGCGAGAATTGACTGCCGATCGCCATATCTTTCTCATCCCTAAAAACATGGCACGATCTTTTCCAGTTTTATCAATGTCATTCTCGTTTTCTTTTCTATCCTTTCCGCACATCATGATATATCTGCATGTACAATTTTCAGCTTACTCACCTACTGGGTATGTATAATAGCATTGCCTTTTCTTTCATCATTCTCTCATACATTCTCAGACTCAGATATACATCACATCATTGTACCCATTTGTATGTTGATTGTACTGCACCCGGTATCATACCTTATGTCCTTCCCCACGAGATTCATTGGTTTCGTGCTACTGTATCAATAGGAAGACTTCTGTGTTGCTCATTGTTGTGAAGATTCCTAGCCGACACTTTGCGTTTTACGTACTAGTCGAAAATGTGGCATTTCATGGATTTCATGTTTTATGTCTTATCTGGATTTGTCACATATGGCACTCTGTGTTTTCCCCTTATGTGATAATATTTTTACTGTTCATTAGGATAATTCTTCACCTTGTAATAAAAAGTTTTCAAAGTTGTATAAGAAGGTGGATAGTGTGTTGCTTCAAAGTTGAGTACCTCTGTGTCAACCTACGTCTGAGTAGTTTAAAAGCCTATGGTGCAGAAGCTGTCAGTGCAGTTTTGTTACTTTTGAGAATAGTACACAAAAGTAAGCGAATGAAAGTTTACCGGCGCAATTTTGCTTCCGTACTTCTGCTACACGTTGTTATGTTGACACGGCTCCTGTTTAGTTGCTGGAAATGAGTCGTCGGCAGAATCCCTCTGAATTTCTCAAGCAAATTATCGGCAAACCAGTTGTAGTGAAGCTTAACTCAGGCGTCGACTACAGAGGCATTCTCGCTTGTCTGGATGGGTACGTTGAGATTTGCTTTTTGTGCAGTGGGAGGAGAAGGGAACATCAGTAGTAAACAAAACAAAAGCGCTTTCATTTCGCGTCTGGTAGGGCGCGAATACGCGTCGCGACTACTTTTTCTGAAATGTGACTCGCATTTAATCGGACTCCATTACCAGCTTGCTCGCTCATGTGAGATTGGAGATGGGCTAAATATCATGGAATGCAGGCTATTCTCAAATTCACGACTAGGTCATACGAAACCGCGTTTTGATCGTTCTTATTAATTTCTGCAAGCTTTAGTTGGTTTGTGTCTGCTAGGGTCAAAGGAAAGGCATAGCCGTTGTTTTTACAGCGGTGCCTATCAAAGGCCCTGCAGAATCCATGTCAATAAGTTATATTTTTTACATCACTCAGTTATTCAGTTGACTAGCTATAAGTGTTTCCACGTTCGTAGCACTGTTGTCTTTACACAACTTGTTTGAAAAAATTCACTATGGCAGAAGTGCTTACTTCTTCAAAATTTTGTTTGTAGTGCAAGTGTTGCAGAGCAATGATGTTTGAAACACACAAAACACAAACCACCTAAATTAAAGTTTTATCTGCTTGTCAGTTTTCCCCCAGCGCAATTTTTCAGATTCATGAATATTGCGCTTGAACAAACGGAGGAGTACAATAATGGACAACTGCAAAACAAATATGGAGATGCGTTCATTCGTGGTAACAATGTGCTGTATATTTCAACATTGAAACGGTAGACATATGGATTTGTAATGTTCCCAACTCATGTGAATTTCCACTTTTACCACCTGCAGTATACATGCCTTGTTTTGTTATGATGTGATCTCTGGGAATAAATATGAACGGCTTCAGTAAATTCACATTTTGGACCACATAAAATAGTGAGCATTCTTGTTTTGTTATAATGATTTAGATTTTCAGAGACTGAAACGTTAGGGTCTTTGGTAATACGTTTCTCTTCAGAATCGTGCACGTATATCTAGAGTATTCGGGGTTTATCCGAGCTCTGCATTCACCTTATCGCGTAATTGTATGAATTGATTCACACTTGATTTTCATCATGTTTCACTCCGTCATCTCAGCTTGTGTTTCAAACAAATATATGTCGTAAGCGTTCAGAGTTTGTTCTTAGACAATCTTTTGTGTATATGCGTATGGGAGCAATCCATATCGGGCTTAAAACAGTTTCTTCATTTGACGAGTTGATAGTTCTTGACAAATGTTTCTCATTAGAAAGTTGATAGTTTGGCAATCCTAGCCCCAGTATACAAGTTTGTAGGGGTTTTTTTTATCCCAAACCAAGAGACCTCACGCGGATCTCACCATCAGTACCCTTTTAGTGAACCCTTTCAGTGGAAGTTCGTGATCGCAGTCGATGAACTGCGCTTTAAAGGGTTGCCTGCCAGCTGTCACCGAGGGTCCTAGGTGGAGTGAAGTGCGCCGGCCGGTTTCGAAAACAAAATATTTATTGCAAATATTGTTTTTTTCTGAACTTTCATTTCAAAACTTGTTGAACTGATAAGCTAGAGTAAGACTAAAGTTACCATGTTATCCATTCTGATCATTTCAGCCTTGTTTGTTTTTCCACATCTTGTCACATTTGAATTCTCTCACAGTATGCATTTTAATAATTATACCCGTCTTTCTTCTTTCTGTGATATTCTCGAACACAGTATCAATCTTTCAGCCTCCTAAAATCCTTCAGCTTCGGCCTGTTAGTGTTATGACCGTTGCGGGCGGAGATTCGATAAAAAGGCGAGCCCGAAAAGCTAAGGTAGGTTTTTTTGGTAAAGAACTTAATCCACGCCAATTTGAAGGTGGAATGAGATAGGTCCTTCCCGTTTTTGCCTAAAATGTTGGTTCGTATTTATCCCGCACAGCGATGACGTGACCGAAAAGGTTGCTGAGCAAAAGTGTGGATTCTGAATGACCAAGATGGTCTTTACAGTTGCAAAATTAGAGAAGATCCCCTGATATGCCTGAGCGAAGTCGAAGAAAACAACGTGTTCAAGACGATGATGAATTGAGTCTGGAATCTGTCGAACTCGACCGAGCTGTATGTAATTTCTCAAATTTTCTTTGTCCAAAAACTAACGTAAACTTGTGCTCCCAAGACCATAACTCTTGATTTTTCGAAGATAGCGATGAAGCATTGGACTGTTTTTAAAGACAGTTTTTTCCGCATCTGAGTTGTTTGTATCTTGAGAACGCAGCTGAAATATTGTGCAATATTGCAAGCTATGAGTCATTTGATTGTAATGCTTCCTATTCTTGTTCATGCAAAGTTTCTGTTTCAGATTGAATCGGAGCTGCTCACTTGCTGCTACTGCCAAGCGCCTTTGAAAGCTATTCCTCTAGATATTGATGACACCAGTGGTGAACAACGTTTCTTTTGGGCTTGCAGAAATTTGAAGACCAAGGTGAGGAGTTTGCCATGTTCTTTTTTCTACTTTGCAAATCTTTGTTTCGTTTTCATGCCGTATTTTGTTTTCAGACTTGCTATTTTCCAATGGGATTACCGAACAACATATTTTGGCTGAAGCGCACAGAAGAACAGCGCAAAAGGGATTATTTCCCACGGCCGGATATAAAGTTTCTTCCTCGAGAGTTCAGGTATGCCAGGTTTTCTAAAAAAGTTTTTTTGAAATTGATTTTCATGGACGATCATTTTAATGCCTACAGTAGTGCAAACAACAATAAGGCTTTGAGCTCATTTGATTAGTGTAGCCCGTAGTTGCATCGTACATCACGCGGGTTGCTTTGCCACCACAGCATATGAACTTGCGGGCTAGTGGAAGATCCTGTCACTTGGATGTCCAGCATACCTTGGGGTCGAACGGATTTCCTTTGCGGTACGCGATCGTTACGTACTGGATTTCGACACTGGTGTCGCATATACGAAAACATTCTCGGCGCCATCTATTCCTACCGGGCTGGCTGCGCGGGCGGTTCGCGCGCGGCTGCTGATTAGCGAGAGGGCGCGCATTCTTGCATGTGTGCAGGCAGGCTTTGATGTTCATCGGACCACGACTGCTGATAAGAAGTGGTGAACTCATTACGGAGCGCAGTTTGTAAGGGCATATAGATGAATATATAAGCTACTTATTCGCCATAGGATGCTATGACTGGTTGTAAAACTGTGTAGTATGTCAGCAATGTCTTCTTTTTTTCGTTTTATTGGATTTGTTATGGAGAATCTTTTCTCTTTAACCATCACATGAGCTTGTCAAGTCTGGTACCATTCGTGCATACCATTTTGAGAACTTGCAGTTTGAATGTTTTTCCTCCTCTTTACAAAGCCTAAGACTGGTCTCATAGCTTACATAAGTAGAATTCGTTGCAAAGTCATGCAATGCTTTCTTGTATCTCTGTCTCTGATATCAAAACTCAAACTGCTCAGAAATGCTGAGATTAGCGATTATCGTCAGTTGCAGTAGATGCAAAACACCAATATTTACATCAAAACATCAGTGTTCAATGCTCACGCGTATGGTGATAACACTCCTCCAAGTTTTGAAGATGATGTTCGTCAAGTATCTACATCAACAATATCTATATCTAGCTTCAAGTATATCTATGTTGCGATGCGGGTATGCGAACACTTCACTGTTGTGATTTCAGATCAAAAGGAGTGTGGTATCTTTACATCAAAAGTAACTTGCTGAAGAGTTTTATTGTGTGTGAGATGTTGGATGTTGACTAAGCATTTTTGCACCGGTGTTACTACATCTAGAATACTCCAGTAAACTACTTGTTCCAACTGTCTAACATTAAACAGCGTTGGAGATGTCAGTACGCTCATAGAAAGTCAAATAGCGGTCTATGAGGATTCCCACTGCTTTACACATTCGTTAAATTCAACGATCTTAGCAAGAGGAGAACGCCAAAGATATACGAATGTTGGCATGCATACTGCGGATGCAGCCAGGAGAATGCCTTCTGATCAAACGTTCAAGCAGCGCAAATCTTTATTGGCTTAAACCACTCTACAGACGGATTATGGTGCTTTGATGTCATGTCACCCAAACTTTGCCCGACATTTGATCAGGCGGCTGTTGGGAGATTGAAGAAGTAGTGAGATCTTCACAGGCTGCTCCTCAATAGATCGTCGCAGACACCCATGTTAGGGAGAGGTGGTCAGTTTACACTTAAGAAGTTCAGATAAAGATAGGACAGGATGTTCAAAACTTTCCTTGGTTTATATTTACGCAAACGCACTACTTTTCTAGTTCAGAAAACGAACAAGCTGTTTAGTTACAATTGGGTCTTGGACTAGTTCAATACCATTTGGTCATAGAGCTAAGCCAACTAGCGTACATTAGCGCAAGAAAAATTTAATGCCTTTATCAGTTGCTCCTTCATGAATGAGAACGAACGCGGAAATCCTCAAGAGCAAGTTCGATGCCATGGAAAGCAACTAACGGCAAGAACAAGATGAAATGCGCGCCCTTGCGTCAATCCCGGCTACCGCGCGCGAACCGCTCGCGCAGCCAGCCCGGTAGGAATAGATGGCGCCAACATTCTCGCTGGGCAATTGTAAGCGATACGCAACGCTGCGCATGTTGAGGGCAGTTGGTTCACTTCGGCGTATTTCCCGCGAGTGTCTCTGAGCGCGCATGATGCAAGAATTGCCAGTAAGGCGCAGTCTTGACCGAGTGATTCTTGGGCGGCGAGGGTTACGAGAAAACCCTGAAGACCTGTGGCCTGTCCCGTATTCTCATTTCGCAGTAATACTGAATTGAGGCGCAGGTTCTCAGACATGGAAATTTGGGTCTGTGATCGGTTTATTACAAATCGATGTCTGCGCGCCTAGAGACGCTCACAACAAGTCTTTGGAGGAACTCTTTTCAAATTTTTACTTTGATCGATGTAAAATAGGTAGTGAGTAGGTTCTTTGAAAGTTTTTGTTCAAACGACGTGTATTTGACTTCACAAATTTGGAGAATTAACTGTTTTTCAGTCGGATTTTCTATTCATTAATGTTCAGGTATCTGTACCCAGTGACTTTTTCTGAAGATGGCCAACGTCGACTAACTCCTTCACGATGTGAAACTTCTGCGTCTACCACAAATGGATCTTCAGATTTTATATGTTCCACAACTCAATCGCCATGTACATCATCTGCGTCGGGGCCGAATGAGGTCGCGTCTACTGAACCTTCGCTAAGTGCGGGACATGAAGTAAGTATATCACTTTACTTTACGTTACTTTCATTAGATTTCGGTTTAGTAATCTTACTTTTAAGAGCACTTGTTGTTTCCAGAATGACGAGCCTACCTCAATTTGGGGAGCTAAAGCAAAGACGCAATTGAATGTGCCGTCAGCCTCTACATGTGGTGAGTTTACAGTAGTAGTTTACAGTAGTTTCGATTTTATAGAATGCTTTTTTATTCTAGATGGAAGCACATACTCTGGCGAGATAAACTCCTCTGGCACGTATGTGTCGAGTGACGGCGATTTCAATGAAGATGCCCTAGCTGAAGTGATTTGTGAGCAGCTTAACGAAATGGGAATAGATACTTCATCGTTAGCGGTGAGTTCCTGTTTGTTTTCTCTTGCTATACACTTTTTCTATGATTACTGATTTCTTTCTAGGATGATGAACTCATCGAACAAATGTCGGGTGCTGTACAAAATATGAAAAAACAAGGTTTTAGTCGGTAAGTGCAAGCGTTAGCTGTCGTTATAAGGCTAATATTTCAATTTAGGTTGTATCAACCAACTTTCCCCAGTGATTTAATGCGAAACCTCGATGTCGAACCAATCAAACGACGCTTGAAAGTGATCTCAATAGAATTGGCTGTAAGTACTCTATTGCTTTTACATTCTGTCCTTTTTCTAGACAGCTATTCATTTTGTTTCAGCATGCTGTAGCAGTAATGCGTACTAATTGTGATGTGGATACAATGTTAGAGGCCATGCGAGGGGGTCAAGTGGTTGAACCTCCAGTGAAACGTCTCAAACTGAATGAGGTGAAGATCGAGGCAAAGAAGAGGGTTGAGGCTCTGTTGGTAAGCTTTTCAAATTTCTCTCTTATCTTTGGCATGACAGCTAAAACTTCAATGGGCAGATGCATTCATTGAGGTCAAGTGCTCAAACAGATTTTTTGCTGAAATTTCTGATTTTTGATCTTAGGTTTATTGAGTCTTTAGGCAAGCCACAAAATTGTCTCATTTCAAGTATCTGAAAGATTTACAAATTTCACTTTTGATGTGTTCAGAAAAAGCTATTGGACGAACGTGCAGCAGCGCGGGAATCTACTGCATCAGAAGCAGCAGCTCCAGTACCCGCTGTAGACGATACAGCCTGGTTCGACACTGAGGATGGTCCTATTTCTAACACAGCTGCCCCGCCATCGAACTCACACTCATCATCGGCTGAGGAGGAGCGGTTAAATGCGTTCATTCGGAGCAAAGTGGGTTTTGCTTTTCTTTTTTACTGGTATACTTTTTTCTTATGGTACGTTTTGAGGTCGAAAAACATGTTGTTGGATCTGCTGCCAGAAAGCATGCGTATCGGAGTAAGAAACAGCAAGAACTTTCCCAGCGGCCACAATCACAATCGCAGCATCAGGCTGGTCCAGAAGCCCCAAATCAATCATCTTTGTCTGTACAAGATCTGCCTACCTCTTCACACACCTTTTCCGAAGCTGATGGAGTCTTGTCATTTGACTCTCCTTATTTAGAAGATAGCTTTGTAGATGAGTCATCAATAGATTTTAGTGATAAAAAGTCCTCTGATATTCAAGAACAGAATCATGTGTTGCCTGAGTTGTCTACCCTCCAATATGACCCGATTAGCAACCCTATCGACGAGGATCACTTGGACGACCATTTAGATTTTGGACTGTTCGACGAATTCGAGGTTAATCAATAAGTTTTATGGCTGCTTGGTGTAGTTATAGTGAGCAGCGATCTCAAACCCCGCAGTAATCTGTGATCTTTATATTCAAGTTTTATTGTATAGTAATTCGATGAATCGAGTATGAGTTGTTATGGTTATTGTTGTTTCATGTGCAATCGTAATAAATCACATTTTTCCCACGTTGTTCTACAAGAAGATTGGTTGAAGCCAGCAGAATACAGCAGACATTGATGTAGCTCGCATTCATTTAGGCAGGTGCCGTACTTAGCTTACAAGGTGGTTCGGAACCGGTTGAGCGACTGCGGCGCAGTAAATGAAGGGCATGTGTCATTTGGAGTTATGTAGGCGATATTATATCGACTGTCAGATTGTCATCATCATTTGCTCCGTGACTGAAAGGCTCGATAACGCTTTGCATACATTGTCTAAACGAGATTGGACTTGTTCTTTCATGTTTCCAAGTAGCAAATATGCCGGTTAGAATCTAATAAACTTGTTAACCACGGATCACTCTTGTTTTTTTTTTGTGTGTGAAGCCGTTTCGAGTCTCTTAGTTGATTGATTCATATCTTTACCTGCGCGACACTATATGTCAAATGCCCGTCGTCTAGTGTGCCGCATCTGGTCGACCGTCTTTGGACCAACTTAGAGATCAAATTTGGCACCTGTAGAAATAGATATCGCAAAATGCGGTTGACGCTTATTCCAAATCTCTCAGGTTAAGGTGTGGGTGTATGGCTGGTGAGTTCGACTATGAAGTCTCTCGCAAGCTATGGGAAGCAGCAGTCCCAATCGAGTTTCAAGTTGATAGAGACGATGAATCGGGGGACACATGCAGACCTAGTTACACCATGCTTCCTCGTTGCGGGTACTTACCCATACATTTGACAAAGGTGATGAGTCAGTACTTAGAATCTCCGAAAATCTGAATTTTCTTAGATCTTGGAACAAGTGAAAGCACGTGATGAAAGTTTAAAGTTGGACGCAGACAAAGTATGGCTAGAATGCAACGGCTTACCGTTGAAAGTATATTATCCTATAGGAGTTCTTTTCGATTTGTACAAACCTATTGACGCACCCACCATGACAATTATTATCAAGTGAGTTAGCTTCTTCTCGTAGTGGTTTTTGTTATATGGTTTTTTAGAACTGGTCCACGTCCCGATGGTGTTCTATCGGTATCCAAGGATGCAATGGAATCCATGTTCATGCAATCTTTGAAAGAAGCTAACTACTTAAAGCGACGGAGAGATGAAGCAAGTTCTTTTTATGTTCTAGTAAACGAATTATTTTCACTTTTGTCGACTTCTCAGATGATACTGACATGATGCAACTCCTTACGCAGTGTATAGGTTATTGTTAGTGAATGCGAACTTTGGCATACTAAATCTCTTTCTTAGGCATGCGCTACACTCAATCCGCTTCATCCACTTCGCTACTGGTATCATAACTAAACTGACCAATTGCGAAGCGGATGGGGTGTATGTCAAGAGGCGCGATTTTTATTGCCAGATTGACACCAAATGGCACATAATAAGTGTTTTGTAACATTCTAAAAGTATCTAAATTTTGAAGGATTAGATAGCTACATGGGTTCCTCCATCTTGCTACTTCGGAATCAACTCAAAAAAGCAATTTTGAAGGTCAAAAACACATGAAAATGCAATTGAAAACAAATTTCTGAATATTTCGGTCCGTTTTCTAGTAAAAGCCAAACTTAGCAGTTGGTTATCTTAGGCAGATAGTAACCCAATGCACTTCATGTGGTACTTTTTAAAGACTCGCGTAGCACTAAACTGGCGTTTTGAGTCTGTCAGCCAAAAAAAAATCGCGTCTCTTGACCTCTCCCGAAGTGGAAAAGGTGTGGCGCATGTCTTATTCGATGCCGGAAATGACGCCATTGTTTGCCTTAGTTGTCACATTTTAATGAGTTGGCACCGCGAAAGCAAATAGTTTCCTTTTGTATGAATTTGAGATTTTTGTTTTTTTTTTCATTTATTTTCCGAATTTGCTCTGATAAGTTCTGAAATCAACATGTTGTGGTCTGGGTAGTCAAACAGTATTTAAGACGACTTCACTAATTGCTACAAGTTCTGATTTCCTTCATTACTGCATTATTTTCCAGGTTCAATATTTTAGGAATGAGAGTATCAAGATTATCCCATTCTTGTCCATTTTAACATCAATACCATTCCAGATTGTAAGTTCTATGAAAGCCGATGAACACAAACAGTTGTGGTCAAGTCTCGTTCATGGTGAGTAATATCTCGCACAAATATCACTCCTTATTTACCCTCATCACCTACTAATCATTCCTGAAGATCGCTTCGATGATTTTTGGAGTGTAAATAGGCGACTTATGGAAACTACAGAAGAACGCCCATTCTGTGATATTCCTATACGATTGTATATAACTGAGCAACCTTTTCGACAGGTAATATTCTCACAAATTTGATATAATTCTACTTGCGAGATGATTTGTTCAGATTTTACAACCACCCTTTGATAGCAATGGAGAACCACGAACCCTAACCCAAGCGCTGGATTCACTTTCTCATGATCTCGTAGAAAATGGAAAATATCGATTTATATCCCACGGTATCACAGTCCCGCTGGAAACGCCACTGAATTACCTGGGAAAGAATTTTGCATATCCTGATAATTTTGTACATATTTGTGCTGTTCGAAGTAATAGCTTTTCTACATAAACTAATGACTTAATACATAATTTATTCATTCTTGTTTCAAAGGGGCAGTGGAAAAGTAGTCCAGCTGACTTCTCTCAAATAGCATAATCCGTAATAAGGCATTGCAACACTGGGATATGCTATCATCGGGAAGTTGAGTATACATATTTGTTACATAATTGATGCATAACATGTTATAATCGAGCTTAAAGCATAAACCATACAAATTTAGTGAAAGAACATGACTCAACCGTAGCAAATTGCAGTGCTGGCACGATAATACAATCTTAGAATCATGAGCTGAATACCGGAAGTTCACAGAGAAAATTAGTCGAATCGGATAACGATGGAATCAAGATCGGTCTTGAATTGCCTGCATTTGATGCCAGCCAGCTTGAACATCTTGCGAGTTGCCTCAAAGGCCCATGTGCCTGGACGATCGTGGAGATAAACAACTTCGGCTAGTCGTGACTAAAGAATATATTTATTGAAATTTTTCAAAAAAAGAGACACTTGAGCATTAATCGGGCCAATTCGTCATAAGGACCCATGTTCGGATGGTAAACAACGAAATCAAAGTGACAACTCAGTAAAAAAAACATACCTGTATGATCATCTTTGCGCATTCGTTGCATGGAAGTAGCGTAGTGTACATCGTGCAGCCTTCTATGTTATTCATACTTTTATTTATGATTGCATTCATTTCAGCATGCACAACATAAGTGTGTTTATTCTCCAGCGGATTTGAGCTTCCTTTTGTCCAGGGTAAATCATCGTCACTAATGCCCACCGGAAATCCTCAAAATTCATTGGATTACGATTTTCGGTATCATGTTTAGAGGTGTTGTACGTGCATTCCCATCGGTAATGGAGCTTATAAGTGAAAAAGATAAAACTCACCATTATAACCTGTACCTATAACCTTATTTTCTTTGTTGACAATGGCGCAACCGACCTGAAATTTTGTCAATTCTTGTTCAAGCTGCGATCAAACGAGATGTTCTAAATCTGTTCTTGATTTTAGAGGAAAGTTAGAATTTTTTGAACCTTTTTATGAGATAGTTACACTTTATTATCTTTGAGAAGTTCAATACTTGTGACCGTTTGAAATCACCAAAACATAGTCGATTTTAAAGCATGAAAACAAAGAGATAGTGTAAAATTTACCTGAGTTGCAGGATCTTTACTCCTCATTGAGGCTAATTTAGCAATGGCCATGAAGTATTCCTCCCAAGGCAAAAAGTCCGTTCGCTTACCAGATCCTGCATATTCTCGTAATAAAAATCTAATCTGAATTTTGTCTGCTTACCTATCTTCAGCTCCGCCAATCCGTTTTCTCCATCTTCGAGCAAATTGCCGTTACAGCCATTCTTGTGTTCATAATGCACGAGCCCATTGTTCTCCATCAGCGTTCCGCAGCTTTACGACTGCGATTACAGGTATTATATTGAGATAAAAGCGTGTCAAGCAAATGATAGCAGAAAACAGATAAGCCAAAGATCGAAAAATTGCAAGGCATTAAAGTTTGACATTTGATTTGAATATCCGCGTCAGTTTGAGTTACTCCCAGACTTCGATATGAATCGATAAATCGATACTAACAATTATAACGAAAATACCTTAGTATAAACAAAGTGCACACCTTTTTGAAAAATTTTTGCTTGTGGTCAGCAGTGTAACTGCACACTATGCAACAAATTACCCAAAAATTATGCGTCAATTATGACAAGGCCCGAATTCATTCTTTCCCTCATTTCTACGGATGACCTATCTAAAACATGATACACCAAAGATGGACTTGCGCTATCGCCGGCTCTGCGAACTACCTTGCTTATGAAAAGCCTTTGTACGGTCGCCGCCAACTGTTAGGTTATTGGTGCAACCACACAACTTTGCATGTTCGCAGAAAAGCTTTCATTTTTGCTCACATCGTCATTACTCGTGATAGTTTACTGCGTAGCTGCTGATATCCGTAATTTTGACGTCATGGGTTAGGGGAGTTGATGTATGAAACTTGCTGGTGTTACGTAACAAGAAATTGATAAACAAAAAAGAAGTCACGCTGGAAAGGTGTAACTAAAACACTACCCAAGCTAGGATAGTACGGTTATCGCCGTGAATTGGGCGGAGACGAAGCAGCTTGAACGCCTCCGATTTTTTGATAGCAAAGGACTACGAAAAGAGTGCTTCAAAGTGGAGGTTCAGCAAGTTTATTGGTATTTTGATAACTCTACCAGTTTTTATGGGGGAGAACAATGCCTTTTTTACCGCTCCGATATCAAAATGGAACAGGAACTCATGGAAAGCAACAAACAGAAAAAGGCGGAAAGTGGAGCGCAATGAGGGATTGGCAACGCGCCCAGCTCGAGCAAAAAGCGTATTAACGGCAGAGTTCATTTGTGCATATGTACTCGCCAGAGGGCGATTTAACAGATCAAACAGAGGACGCTATGGCCAGAGGTGCGATAGTGGGAGCCAAGTCTCCCCCTACCTTCACTTTTGAGCTGGTACGGGGTGACCACCTTCACTTTTGGAATAAAAAATTTTTCGCTGGACGACAAAGAAGGAAAATAAGCAAAACAAACGCAAAAAAGATTATTGAAAGCATATATTTATGTATACGGCGGCATATATATTTAAAATAAAGGTTTTTAGTAAATGGTGTATTTGGAAGTAAAGCTTAGCAAAACTGTACGGATTTTATTAAGCAAATTATGTTATAACGTATAGCGAAGGAAGTAGGTCGATCCAGGCAGTAACGGCGGAGAACCAGAATTTTGAATATTTAAATAGTGAAAAATCATGCGAAATTTCCACTGTTATAAATCTGTTGTTTGAAGATGTCAGCAGTTGCGACTTCATAGGTTTTGAAGAGTAGATGTTGCTCTATCAGCTAGTGAAGGAATCGGGTCGATTTAAGAGATAGTCGTTGAAAACCAGAATTTTAAAACTTTACGCCATTTTTGCGTGTTTTTTGACTGTTGAGAGTTAAACTCTTATAAATCTTGAATGTGGAAGTGTATGATGTTGCGACTTCATAGGTTTTATAGAGTAAGGTTTGCCTTATCAGAATATGTCTTGTCCGTTCCGATCCATTGAAACACCTCCGAGATCCAGAGTCATGAAAAAGCAGGTAAAAAAGAGCTTTTTGAACTTCAACAGCTCATAACTTCTTCAGAACTGCATGAATCATGTTGCGACTTCATAGGTTAGATTCCTCTCATCAAGGGCTTTCAGATGATATATAATATGTGGGGGTTTAGAGCCTCCTGCGAATTATGACCGGGGGGGGGGAGACTTTTTAGGCCAAAGTCTCCCCCTCGCCCATTTTAATGTATTGGCTGGAGGCTGCCGGGGGAGACTTTGGCCTAAAAAGTCTCCCCCCCCCCCGGGCATATGCCGTAAGAGGCGCGAAACTCCCACATATTATATATCATCTGAAAGCTCTTGATAAGAAGAATTCAACCTATGAAGTCGCAACATGATTCATGCAGTTCTGGAGAAGTTACGAGCTGTTGAAGTTCAAAAAGCTGTTTTTTACCTGCTTTTTCAAGAGCCTGGATCTCGGAGGTGTTTCAATGGATCGGAACGGACAAGACATATTCTGATAAGGCAAACCTTACTCTATAAAACCTATGAAGTCGCAACATCATACACTTCCACATTCAAGATTTATAAGAGTTTAACTCTCAACAGTCAAAAAACACGCAAAAATGGCGTAAAGTTTTAAAATTCTGGTTTTCAACGACTATCTCTTAAATCGACCCGATTCCTTCACTAGCTGATAGAGCAACATCTACTCTTCAAAACCTATGAAGTCGCAACTGCTGACATCTTCAAACAACAGATTTATAACAGTGGAAATTTCGCATGATTTTTCACTATTTAAATATTCAAAATTCTGGTTCTCGGCCGTTACTGCCTGGATCGACCTACTTTCTTCGCAGTACGACATAACTAAATTTACTTAATAAAATCTGTAGATTGTCGTTGAATTTCACTTCAAAATACACCATTTCATTGACACGTTTATTTCGAATATTTATGCCGCTGTGTTCATCGTATCTGTGGCCCTAAAGAGGGCCGTTGGGTCACAGTTCGACCTAGAAGGATAGCTTTGTTCGTCCGTTCTACTCCCCCCCCCGTCGACGTTTTTGGGAGGTGAGTGTCCGGCACTACCACCTTCACTTTTGGCAGCCAGGGGTAGCAGGGACCACCTTCACTTTTGGGGGACCCGGCTCCCCCTATCGCACCTCTGGCTATGGCGCCTATAGACTCCGCCTCCGCGACAAGTGGTACGAGCCTCAATGTGTTAGGATGCATGGCTCGTGGCAGATGTCGGCGACGGAGGAGCCTATTGGCAACACAATGTCGTCTACCCGACAGCTCTACAATCAAGAGTTGGTTATAGTATGTATAATTCGAAAGAATGCCCATTTGAGGATACTGGTCTAGGGCGCATGCATTAACATCCCCGCTGGGGAGGAAATCGCAGCTTAAAAGAAAAGCTTTATATTCTGAAGCTCCAGATATCTGGATTTCACTTGTCTAACTATCCGTAAGTATTCCTACTATCCTTCCTTCACTATGAACACACTGAACAGGATTGAGAAGCTGCAAGCCGCATTTTTCAGCTTTTTGTATGATCCCCTGATGATCCCCGGGGGACGATCGTTCATTCTTTGAAGTCATTTCTCTTTCTGCAGGGTTAATGAAAACATTCCGAAGTTGCACTGATTATTCGATCTGTGGTTCATCGAAATTTTCATGATTCCAGAACATCGTTCGTTCTTACCAGCAAATGCTTAGCACTGTTGGATTAGATAAGCAATACAACCTTAAAATGTTTTCAATGACTTTGAAGGAAGAAAAATGACTTCAAAGAGTAGAAGGTCGTCCCCCGGGGTTCACCAGAGGATCATACAAAAAGCTGGAAAATGCAGCTTGTATAGCTTCTCGCTTCTGTTCAATATTGTTCATAGTGGAGGATGGTGGGAATACTTACTGATAGATAAACAGGAAATCCAGATATCTGGAGTTTCAGAATATGAAGCTTTCTTTCAAGCTGCGATCCGCTCCCCAGCGGGGATGTTAATGCATGGGGCCTTTAGTCTATGGGCCGCATGCAATAACATCACCGCTGGGGGTGGGGGGAACACAGCTTAGAAGAAAGCTTCACCTACTGAACTCCGACATCTGGATTCGTATTGTCTATCCATCCGCAAGCATCTCTACTACTATCCTTCATTATTAACATATTGAACATGAGCGAAGAGTTGTAAAAGCCGCATTTTCCAACTTTGTATATGATTTCCTGATGCCCCGGCGGGGTACCGTTTTTTTTTCAACGTAGTCTTTCTTTGAAATTAATGAGTACATTCCATGACTGTACAGCTATCCAAGAGGAAGGGAAGGGAAGAGTCCGAGTTTATTATGGCGACGAGACTATCCATGGAAACCCACATTTTCAAAAACCTCTGCCCGCTGTGGCCGTATTCATCAACGAACCCACTGGGTAGGCTCAACCCACGAGATTGGTATTCACGAAGCAAGTGGGTTCGCGAATCCAGCAGTGCTTGTTGTGAATATCGATCCAACCCAGTGGCACTGTTTTCGCTTACCCACAGGGTAGCGGAACCCACTGGATTCGTTGATGAATACGACCACTGGACGTGGGAATCGTCCAAGGGAGAGAACTATAACGAAATTGACCACGTTATCGTCAACAAATGGTATTTGACGGAGATCGCTGTTGCTGTTCTCATGGGATCAAACCATCGTTTCTCCTGATGAGTTCTAATTTTCAAGGAGTGGAGAGAGAGCTCAAGTTCAGAAAATACGTCCCATGACAAACCAGCGGTTACGGTGCTACGGACTGTTTAATGTACTGGAAGTTTCTGACATCGACGGGTGCCTGATAATAACCTATGGTTTGTTTCCCAGAAATATCTCCATAGGTATTATAGGCCGTCCGCGCAGGGCGCGGAGAGTGCGCAAGGTGTGTATTGCGCGTCACTCCTTTTCCTTCGTGTACTCTCGCTGCCTGTTTTCTCTGCGCCTCCTCCAGTCATGAACTTCCTCGAATGGACGCAACAACGTTGCTCTCCGAGCACAGCGCGGACGGCCTATATCAACGTGGCTGCCTTTCAATTATTTCAACACGTCCTGATTGACAGACGTTTGAGCTTCAGTTAGCTGCACTTCACCCACAATGGAAAGCTACACTTTTACAGTTCGCGTGATTTTGAGAGATGCAACATTACTTGCCCTTTGAATCTGATTGGAAAATCTGTTCCAAACTCAATGGGCAACATTTGATGTTCATTGCACTTGGTCATGAATTGCCAGATAAAAACTCTTGATCGGCGACGACGAACTTCATCTATTCGTAAATTAGAGGACATTGTACGCAGTGCGCCATTTTCGACGAGAACTTTTTCTTCGAAAAAACTATTCACATGGTCTCTTCAATTGTTTTCCGAAATGTACAACTGTGTCATGTCCCAGTTTCTGAGATTGCTCATTTCAAGCCCGATGGACTCCAGAAAGGTTCCTCTTCATGTAGAAATTCGACTCTCTTCAGACTTGTAATGTTCACTTTTTTCTTTGCGTTGATGATAGTTCACATCATTGAGCTTGTTTTGAACAATATTTACTTGTAGGGGGTGCAAACATGCCCTCTTTATTTTTCTTTACTGGACTTCTTCTACAATCTCTCCACTTTTCTCTCAGTCTCGACAGTTTCTGCAACCTGTATCGACATAATTGTATATTTTCGCTCCTACTGCAGTCATGTCATGTTTCGTTACAGATCGCTTCGTATTCAGCAATCGTTTGAAATGGACTTGGATAATCTCTCCGACAACGAACTTCGTCAGGTAGGCTTGAAGTAATTATCAGAAACACTGTGTCCACTGCATTCAAAAGTTCTAAAGAACAGCAGGGATTTCTTGTCATTTTTCACTTTTTCCAAATGTAAGTTTCCATTTATTCGCAGAGAGACCAAGAATTCTCTGAAGGTTTATGATACTTTTTATCATGCATTCTAGTTCAATGACTTACAGTCGATTCATTTCATATGATCATGTGTATCACTGCACACACTGTCCACCTCTGGCGTCCTTATCCTGGATTCTAGGAACTGACAGCCCTTGTGCTAAACGTTTCCGATGTTTTCTTTATGCTTTTCCTCCTTTATAGGTACCAATCCTCACAAAGTGATGTAAGCGATAAAAATCGGTCGGTCTTTGCGCTTTTGCGATCGCAGTTCCAGGATGGGGACGCCAAAGGTGGACAGTGTGTGCAGTGACACACATGATCATATGAAATGAATCGACTATACAGTAGTCGTCGATCTGAAATAAACGCTCAGCGTATATTTTTTTTTATCAGTCGTTTACCTTTCATAACCTTTATCAATCTCAGAAATTGGTTTCAGTTTTCTTTATTGGTGTACTAAACAGCAAATTTTTGCTATCTCGCAAAACTGAAGGAGCTTTGGATAAAAGGAACGTATTATCTAGGCCCCAATGTCGCTCCCTTATTACTATCATTAGCAGTCTCCAGGATGTAGATTTTGCTAACCATTAGTCAGGGCACTTTAATGGAACTATTCACTCAATAGTGTTTGAGTTTGACCGTATTAGTCACATAAAAACATTCTGCATAATCAGCACAAACTTGCATGTCTTCTTCCTAGCGTTCATTTCGCAAATACGCTTTTTCAGTCCATGGCCACTCAACAAATGCTCCAATGAACATTTGATTTCATGCTAGGAAACGGCTAAGTATATGTCCAACACCTTCGTTTTTTTTCAGCAACTAACTGCTTTGGGGCAGTCTGTCGGACCACTAACACCATCGACAAGAACGGTGTATATAAAAAAGCTGAAGAATCTGTTGCAAATGCAAGGTGCGTTTCTAGACAATTTTTTGTTGAGTAATGGATGATTTACGCTGTTAGACGATGCGCCTGTCAATCCACCAACGCCACCTTCAAGAAGAAATCCGAGGAGTTATGAGGGACGCAATTGTTCGATGTAAGACATTTACTCATGATTTTGGTACAATCTTTACAGTGCCTAAATATTAGAATTGTGATGAATCTGTTGAATTTTCTTTTCTTGGCTGGTCGCTAATAGGGCGCCAGCTCCTAATGTAGCGTTTGCGCGGCTGCAGTCAGTTGTTTGTTCGAAAACAAAATATGATACGCGTATTAGAGAAGGGAATGTGGAAGATTGGCGGAACCAGGGATGGAAAGGAGAAAGCGAACAAATGGAAAACAAATTTTATGCCTTGATTTCACGAGCACAGTTCTAAATTCAACCAGCCAGGACGCACTCAAACATTTTGCGACCAAAGGACTGAGCAGTATGCGTATGGTCTTGCGGCATAAGTTTCGTTCTCTGGAACACAACGAGGCGGCTGAGCGACTCGCTTAAAAATCGAAAAAGGTGCGTCTTGTATTCGTGAAATCAGGGCCTGTTCGTGAATTTCATGCCATAAGAATTTGAGATCGAAGTATGTTTCAAATCATGAGAAAGTATTAGAGCTCTTACAAGCCAATTACTTGAATGGCCGTGGACATTTAAAAGGAAGTGTGTGACAGTAGATGCACTGAATGCTGATTCAGAATGTGTTAAGTACGTGGAAGACGATTTTGTGGATGAAGTTACTCATTTCTTTATGTATAGTTACGTGTTGCTAAGAATCAGAGTAAAAGCTATATGACTTGCTCTTCGTCTATCGAATTTGAAAAATGTGATAGTGCTTTAGTGTTGGTAATTGAGTACCACAAATTGGATGAATTTGGAAGCAGAGTGTGAAGACGTGAAGCTGTGTGAAGCTTTTGTCATAATTGGCCATAGTCGCAGAGTGTCTCACCTCGCTAGACCAGCTGATTCATAGCTGTGCAATTTCTAATCAATTGCTTAACAGTTTCTCAGGAAATGAAGCCGAAATCGAGTGGCTATCTGAACTTTGTCTAAGAGTGCAACACAACTCTAACTTCCATATGTGTTTGACATTTTTATTATGGTTGCGGACGACTGTCATGTCGCAATCATATTGAGAATGCACACACCTAGAAATTTGAAAAAAATTGGTCAAAACTTTAATAGACTCATCGTTTTGGTTTGAAAACTAAGAACTTTGCTGCTTCTTTCGTACTCAGGATACTTTCGCATCATCTATAATCTATTTCAATTGTTTAACACTTGTCTTTAGGATGAGGACGAACCATTGACACAGCTCCGCGATGAAAGAATTATATCAGGATCGCCAAAAGCACGCCGAAATGAGAGACCTGTAAACGGATCTCCGAGAGCAGTTCGCAGTGAAAAAGTTCTTTCGGGATCTCCAAAGGCAAAACCTGTGAACAGATCACCACAACTGGTAACATTTTTGACTTTCCGGTAGGAATAGTAGTAAGCTGCTACTGTGGTCTAACTTGTGAAGTGCATTCGGGTGTTCATGAGCATTTTTCGTTTCGAATGGTTCCATTTTTTGGGGAAAACATCATGCAGTACATCAAGAAATGGAAGTCTTATTGATTTCCAGATGTATTCTTTCGCTTTTAAGTCATTTGATGATGGTTCCGATGGAGAGATGGGCGGACATGAATCAGTACGATATCTTTCGCCAGAAGAGATGGAGTTGGAAACGACTTACAACAACAGAAGTTTTGCTGGATCTCCTGTTGTCCCCACCCCCGGTAACATAAAAAAGGTGCGACTGAGCGTAAGCGTTGGTCCACGTGAGCTTTCCTTTCGATGTGTTTTTTCATATTTTTCCTCCTGTTTGAAACCAGTGGCCATATTCATCAACGAACCCACTGGGTTGCGGTACCCAGTGGGTAAGCGAAAGCAATGTTATGGGTTGGATCGATATTCACGAAAAACACTGCTGGGTTCGCGAAACTAGCTTCGTGAATACCAGTCTTGTGGGTTAAGCCTACCGATTGGGTCCTTGAACCCACTAGGTTCGTTGATGATTACGGCCACAGAAGTACAAATGGAAGCAGAAAACTTACCAATCTTTATTTCCGTGTGCTTTTTCGTTGACGTAAACGGAAACTGTCATTGCATAGCAATGATAAAATGCAGTGAATTTTCTGGTTCCAAACAATGTATGCGAAACACTCAGCCCACTTTGCTGTTTCCTCTATCATCTATTCACTTTCTACCTCTATAAAGGCAGCGTCCCACCAGATTGGGGGTACCTGGCTCTTAGTAGTGTAATAGTAGACTTCCTGTCTAAGCGACGACTGAAGTTGCAGCGCAAAAGGGGATCTACGAAGTCTACAAAACGCCTCCGTAGTGGTGCTGTGTGGACAGCGTCCGGACCTACCGTATGATCCGGGTCACTTTCGGACAAATTTCAGGCCTTGGTAGACCCCTTTTTCGCTCCGAACTTCCATCATCGCTTGGGTAGGGGGTCTAATTTGACACCGCCACAAAAACCCGGCACTCATCTTTTTGCCGGGACGCTGGCTATAAGATCGTGCGCGTTTTGGTGCGAAACCTATATAATTTCGCATGTCGATACAGATAAATGGGCTAGGGCTCAATCGGCGAGTAGACTGAAACAACTATTTTTAACTAACTCACTCACTGCCATGGTTCGCCCAGCTTGTAACAACAGAGCAAAGAGCTGAGCGATAATAAGGGAAAATGCACGATTATGGCAAAAGTTATCAGAACTCATGTATTTAGATGCAGTTGAGAAAGGAGGTAATGCGGAGCAACAGACATATATTTGAACCTGCCTTTTTTTTACCCGTTGTCTGTGTATCCATTTATACACTTCCTACGAAATTGGCTCTTCCACGGCAACATAACTATTTTTTCAGGTATTGCTTGCTCTATGCTTGCTAACAATGGTGGTGTTTGTCTTTTATCTTTCGGATCGTGTGCATCGTCAAACTGCAGAAAAAGAAATTGAAGATGAATTGTAAGTACCTCGACAAGAGTCCCATCTGATGTGTCTTTTCATTCCCGATGTGGCAGCGATCTCTTTGCCAACTTAAGTTACATGTTTTGAATTTTTGCTTCACATTATGATCTAGATTGTAATTTGCTGTTGCATTTCACCCATGTGTTCTTTCTCTATTTTTCATTGTGAGCTGTGAACGCTCGAGAACTTCTACTGCTGTTGAATAAATGATACGACCCACAGTATATAGCTATGAACGTGAAATACATCCTTTTGCCTTCAAAAGGTTTTTTCAGTCTTTAGGCCGTTACAATTTTTCAGCAAAGAACACACTTCTAACATTTCCTTACTAGAAAGAAAGTCTGTAAACCAATGTCAAAAGGCTAACTCCAAACTGGTTTTCTATACTTTCACCAGATTCTGTTGTTTTTTTTATATGTAGTTTACTCCTCTGATAAAAAAGTATACCGTTCGATGTAGGAAGTTAGCACACTTTCACGTAGTCTTGGATTCTTTTTCAAAAGAGTAGCAGAGTATCACCTCCATGTTCGCAAACGGAAAGTGATTTATATTGTTAACTAAAACAGCAGGACTGGACTTGTATATTTTGATCTTATAGCTCTTACAGACCTTGCATCTCTCTAAAGGGCTGGGCATACTTCGATTTCAGTCGCGACGCGATTTGGCAATATTCCAACTGTCTATAAATCACTTAAGCACATTTTAAATGTGAAGAATATAGGGCATTTCATCAGTATATGTAGGTTATACACATTATGCACGTGCAGTTTGCTAGTACTGGATCTGAAGACTTCTGGCGAATTGCCAAATCGCGTCGCGACTGAAATCGCGTGAAGTATGCCCGGCCCTCAATGTGAGTATAGTTTGTGTAAAGAGCTGGATGACTGTAGATGTTGAGACCGTACAGGCCGGCGCATGTTATTTCTCTTCCCTCTCTCTTATGAATGGTTTAAAATTTTTGTTGTAGAGGTTTTAGCATTCGGTATTGAACAAATAGTGTAATTTGCTATAATACTACTGCCTTTGAGTGCCAGAAACTTCTCATACCAATTCCACATACAGCGGTATCGTAGTCAAAATAAACTAGTACACCAGCAAAAAAAGCGGTTGGCCTTGTGGAATGTCGAACGATGACCGTGCGAATGATAGCAGCGTTACACAGCACCAACAAACAAAAACATTTGTCCAGCGCAGCCCTGCGGGGTGCCCTTTCATAGCTAGTCGTTTATCACATTACTCTCTTACGCATACATCTTGTTGTGATCTCGATTTTCATACTACACGAAGTATAAATGACTTACAAAAAGATTCTCTGGGAATTTTATGTCATTCGATCGATACATGCCGACTCGAGTGCAAATGGGGAACAGGGCACAGTTGGCTTATAAGCTGGATATTTTTGTGACAAAAAACGAAGGAGATAACTTCTTTATGATTCCAAAATTAGTTTTCTTTCTCTTTTAAGTCGATTTGGATAATTCGGACAAGTCAGAATGACTTCGTAAAATCCTGCGCAAGTCAGGGGGGACTTCGCTTTTGCTTTCGGAAAGCCACCTCTGCCGAGCCATGTAGGGGATCGAACGAATTTTTCGTCAGGTGAAGCTCAAGTATCAAAACCAGAGTTATACCGTTACCTTTGCATAGAACTCGTCCTTTACAGCAATGTGGTTTTAAAAGAATTATCGAAGCGGTACATACAACGAACACAAATTTTGGCTCATTTATTTTCTGTAAAACAAACAAAATTCAATGAAATAACCATATCCACAAAACATTTACACAAAATGAGTTCAAAATTAATAAATATGAATTAAAAACTATCGAAAATATTTGATACAATATATAAGTGGTGTTACGTTGCGTGTTGTGTGGTAAGAAGAAGAACTATAGGAGAGGGTCAAACTGAAGTGTTGCGAAGTGTTGTGGATGGGGGATCTGGGGTTTGGAAGCATGTAATCGTGACTAGGGATACGTCGGTATATACATAATAAGAGTTACCGATACCCATGCAGGGGAGTGCTAAAGGGGGTATGCCATTATTTAGGCAGGACGCTCGAAACTGATACAGCGAGAGAGCGATCAGCGGAAAGAGTGCGAAAGTGGAGAGTTGGGGGTGAGAGCGCCGCGCCATCTGTGGCACTTTCAGTGCGAAGCATCCGCGCGCACCTTCTGACGGAATACGAAGAGAAACAGTGACATAGGACGGAGACCCCCTAGACGGGCGCTGCGAGCAAACTATGGGAGGAAATACAGAGAATAATTAATCGGTAGATGGGGTGAGATGAGCGAGGACAACGACACGACGACGCTTGGCAGCCGAGCAAGCAACGATTCCTAGGCGATTCAACGGCGGCGGCTCACGCGGGCAGTCTAGTCGACTTTGACGTCGACGCACGAACAACGAACCAACGAAAGACAAGCACCCGGCGATACGACGACTCGTCAGCAATGACGACGAAGCGCTACACCAGATTGTACTCCTTGAGATTATGCTGCAGAATCGTGTCTTTCACAGCAGCGAACACGAATCGGATGTTTTCCGTATCTGCAAAAAGAGGATTTTTGAGCAAAAAGCTATAAACAAACTAGGTCTTGTGACCTTTTGCTTATGACGCATGAAAAACTGTAAGGTCAAAGCAAAACAATAGTTGAAACTACAAAAAGATAGCTAGATAATTAACCACTCAAGCAAGAAGAAAAAGGAAAATCACCGAAAAGCGATCACAAACCTGTAGCACATGTGAAATGGGAGTAAATGATCTTGTCAGCATCCGGGTTCAAATCGACGAACATTTTCAAAATAAATTCGCGTGCAGCTATCGGATCTCGGGGCGGACCTTTACATAAAGAACGTTAATAAGATAGAACAGATATTTAAGGAAGAAATATATGCGAAGGAAATCGTAAATTGAATTAGTGATAATATTAACATCGCTCATGCGTAAAATGGTAAATGTAGAGGATCATGACACTCACCGTCGTATTCCGGAAAGTAGTCAGCTAAGTGTGAATAGAGAATTTTTTCTTCCAATAAATCCTTCTTATTCAGGAAGAGAATCACTGACGAGTTTGTGAACCATGGATATGTGATAATTGTTCTAAACAGCGCCTTCGATTCTTCCATACGATTCTGGAATGAGTGGCATTGTAATTTCGAAGGAAACTCGATAGGAAGTACGATAAAGCAAAAATTCTCACTTCATTGTCGCATTCGACTAGGACTTGATCGTATTCGGAAAGCGCAACAAGAAACATGATCGAAGTGACATTCTCAAAGCAGTGGATCCACTTCCGCCGCTCAGAACGCTGTCCTCCGACGTCAACCATCCTAGAACAAAATCTCTAATCTAAGTGATAATCTTTATTTACATTTCAAACCGTAAAGAAGAAAAAAGAAAGTATCAGTTAACATTTCTTTGCGAAAAATAGTTTTCCTGTGATAGAAAAAATACACTTTGATTTTAACACAGTTCTCTATTTTCGCATGTCTCTGGCGAATTCACAAATGTAAAGCTTGAAAAGATTACAGTATCAAGTCGAGCAATGAAACAGGAGCGCAAAATGCCTTCCTCAAAATAGATTTACCCAAAAATTTACTCAAAAACTGTTACAAATATTGTCAGCAACTTTACTGTTTTGCTTATTTCATAGCAGTGCTTGCTGAATAATTTCGAAAGCTAAGCAACAAATATCGCGACTGACAATTTGACAAAATAGAAAACACACCTATCCCCTTCAACATATTATGCTCAAGACGAAGCACGTATATAAATGAAAAACTGAAAGTCAATGTCTTACCTAAAAATTATCTGCTCCAAATCGAAGGGATATTCTATTATACCGGTTGTGGGTACTCGAACCCGCAGAATATCTTGTTCTGTCGGCAAATAGTCTGGCACTGCTAACCGTCGGAGATCCGATAGATAACTGAAAGTAGGTATTTTGAGAATAACATGTGACACAAATATCACATAGTATTTCAACAATTTGATTTACAACCCTAATTTAGGTCTTATATGTGCAATATTTGCGTAGGCTTCCAAAAGTTGATCACTGTTGACAAATACTTTACAGCAATGTTGCGAAATTGCTTCGACAAGACTTGTGCTGTCAGAATTCACAACAGTGCATGAATTTTCGAGCAGCAAATAAACAAACATAATAACTGAGAATACAAACTCATCAAAGGGTGCTGAAGTTCGCAGCAATTTAACAAGCCTTTAAATGGCTCAAAAATCAATAAACACTGTCAAGGAAAAGCTTGTTACTCACTATTTAGCAGAGTCAGTGAGCTGGTACTCCCTTCGGCGGTCGTAACATTCTTGAATACCACTATCTTCCCAGAGTTCCTTGATGTACGATACATAAGGCTCTTCGAACGACGTTACACTTTCGAAGTCCACAGCACGTACGACCGCTGCTTTCTCTTGTAACTCTTCTGAAGGGTCGCCGAATTCGATGCCAAGCGTATCCATAGCGCGAATCATTGACTGCAAAATTGAGTTGATGTCAACAACACTGTACGCTCCTTCAATTCTCTCGATTACATGTTCAAAAATAAAAAAAAGATGAGATGTAAACAGCAAAAGATATACGTTTTTTCTTGAAAAAAGATTGATGAGTTAAAGTGAAAATTGTGCGAAAAAACTCCATCCCCTTCCCTTTCGTGTCTTTACACAGAACTTTTCAGTAACTCTCTTCCATAAACTTTGCACTGCTTCACCTAGGATTTGCAACCATCTGCAGCAAGTGTTTTGCAAGTATTTTCTGTAGTAGCAGTAGCAATGCGCCCATTAAAAGCCAGTCCACCTTCACTTTAAACTAGCCATTAACTCCACCCGCGCTTTACAATATGATAGAAAAAATAAAGTGAACTGGATGATTTTTACGCAAATCTTTGTATTTTTTCAAAATGACTGTCAAAAGAAGGAAGATGAGAGCAACAATTGATGGCTTGTTGTAAGCAAAGGAAGAAATCTCAAATTTTGCCGCTCTGTCTTATTTTTACGTGAAGATCAAGTCAGAATGTGAATCCAAAGCAAGCACCCTCAGCCGCGATTTCCAGGGAGTTTACTACTCCGTATGCAGAACACATAAACAAAAATTTCCAATGCTCTGAGGACATTGCAACTTTGCTTCAGAATGTAAGAATTATTTTCCAAAAAATAGGAAGGAAAAGATCATGATATCTTTGATTTGGCTAACTTGTGTCGACTAGAATTAAAGAATATAGTTTCAGGGTAATGCAATTAGGGCCCGGCACAGTTCGTATGAAAACGGTTTTTGGGGTGAAAAAGCATAGGGGATATTGTTTTTGTGGCTGAAAAAGCAAAAATTTGTGACTTTTTAGTCGACGTTTCGGTTTTTGACGGTTCTTTACCGAAATGGTTAGAGGTCAAAGGGGACTCCTTTTGGCGAAAGCCAAGGGGACTTCGTTTTCAAAAAACCTAGAAACGGCTCATCCGGGGCCCTGAATGCAATGCTTCTGCAGCAAGCATTGCCTTTTCTACCGGCACCAACTCCTCAATAGGAGAACAAAGAAAAATTTCCTCAAGCCAAATTCTTCCCAGCTTACACTAATCAAAATATTCAACATTTTAGCTTGTGAAAATCAGTAGGTAACTTATGAGAAAAAGGAAAAACAAATAAAAAAAACTTACTTGTATGGCCATGAAGACATTTTGATAAACTAGTCGAATATGAGCCCGCTTATCTTCATCCGAATAACCATTCCCGTGAATAATTCGCATTTGTTTAATGAATGTCGACTTCCCTGATTCTCCGGTACCTAAACGAAATTCATATTCATCCATCCTCAGGTTCATTCGAAGTGTTGTTACTCATATTTTTCCTGTTATTCCATTTCAATTCCCCTCTTTTTACTTCATTTTGTCTGACTTCACGGATCTCCCCGTTGCTCATGAGACTTCCCTCACTCGATGTATGTGTGTGTAAGCACTATGCACCAGCTAAAGAATGTTTTAGACAACGCGAAAGAGCAAACGAGAGCAGCGCGGGTGATGGCAGCGTCTGTGGTGTGCGAATCGATTAGTGCGCCGCGCCTTCCCTATGACCAGACCGCCGCCGCCAGCGAGCCACAGCCCCCCGACCACGCAACACACGCCGTGTCCGTCGGCCCCACAATGACCATATCATAGCCCCCCCCCCCCTCCACCCTCTTCCCCAATCCACCCCCACCTGCGCGAAACTGGAGAAACCGCTATTCAAGTAGAGAACAAGGACAGAAGAGAACAGAACTTCAAAAGTTTCAGTGCGCCCCACCCAAGTTTGGGCAATCCACCACGAGCAAAAACAGCAGATAAGCGAGTAGACGAAAGTGACAAAGAGAGAACAAACCTTATTCGGTAAAATATCTACAAAATCGCTGTTTTTGCCCAAAATGGTGGGACGTGCATCAAAGACAACAGACAGATGTGAAAATCTCGCGGAAGAAATTCCATAACCCACTAGAGAAGGAGAATTTCCAAGTTTCAAGAAAGCCGGCATTGGCAAATTAGAGGGATTGGCCAAAACGAGAAAGTTCCATCAAAGAAGAGGAGTTTTGCTGTGGTTGAATACATGATAATCACTATTATTTCAGGTACTTTTCAAATTTATTTATGCACATCGTATAAACAAATTTACGACGTATTCAGCGTAAATGGGAGGAATAAACTAATAATAAAATTGAAATGATAACACTTCCAAAGTGTAAGGATAGCCAAAATTGAGGATGTTAAGTATATTTTGCGAAAAGTCAGATTAACTTTTGGGGTGAAATTTTTACAGGCATTCTAGTAATAAAATTCGGGACATCCATCTAATTTGCAAATAAATTCCCTTATTTTGCGAGATTTTTGAAATAGATTTTTGATATTATCGATCTATTACTGAATCATATTCTGCTCATTCGTATCACAACAATCGCTGATTTCAAAAAAAAAAAAGAATTATTTTCATTTTCATGCCACTGTAAGATCCTGATTTCCCGAATCAGCTGAGATCGCCTTTTCTCTCCTAATCCGAACCTTCTAGAAATGTCGCGTCCTTTGTCAGAAAAGTTATGACACTTCAAATATTAACATTCGCTATATCTCGCAATGTTCCGTACTTTTCTGAACTTCCCAGACCTTTGCATATACTTCTGCAAACTCAATAAGTTCAGCAAATCTTATCATCCCTTTTTAAAGTTCATCGTGCACGAGATGGGTACTAAATATATGTTTCAGATGATGATTTCACTCTAGCTTCTTTTTTTTTTGTCCAGTACTTCCGGATTCAAATGCATCCACCTCTTCCACCCACTCAACTACTTACGTCCAGCTCACCCTTTAGATTGAATAAGCAGCACCACCTACACAAACAAACTTAGTACGCCAATAGACGTGACTACATAACAATCATCTGTTTCTCTGACGAAGTTAATACGACATATCTATGACGAAAGGGCCCACATCATGCTTACTACATGTAAAACATGATCAACATCACTTTACCACTTGATAATGAGAACGCACGTTGTTTAGTAAATGCTAATTTACGTCAAAATCACTATGTTTTTCTTTATAATGCCCTCATTACGTACATTACATGTCTGCCCGGCACTCAGCAACATTTAACAAATCCCAGAATCGACAGTGGGTGGAAAAATGAGTGGGGTGGCACGAGATTCTCCGTTATCGACACCGTAAACTTTGTAGGTGGGTGCTTGAATTGTGTGAAATAGGATTTTTAGGTGAGAAAAACTGCGGAAAGAATAGATTTTCATGAAAGTCACAGTCATAAACTGAACGGCGAAAGAAATTTATAGCTGAAAAAGCAGATCAGAGCCCGTATAATATTTTTTTGATTCACAAGTAACGAATGATTGAATCCGAGCACCAATTTGCCAATAAAACACCAAAAGACATAACCGCAACGAAAGCTCACTAATTTTAAGCATTCCAACTAAAAATTTTAGATTTATTTCGTAAAGTTTTTACCCAACTTCCCGTTCCAGTACCCCCTCACATGTCTTTGCACACACCTAGCTGGCCATTAGCGGAGACGCATGTGAGGTCGCAGTCATTAGGGTTGGCACATTCGGACCAAAGCAGGCCTGTCACGGCTCGGAATTTGCTGCTTCGTCGTCGTGTCGCAACGCCAATGACAATAGCCATCAGCAAAGAAAGATCTAATCTGACAGCTACCGTGAAAGGTACACGCACTTTCAGTTATATCACGTGAATTCATCAAATTTTTTTGGACAATTCGAGTTCCACTACAACACTATCAGATTATTAGATAAGGATATTTAGCGAAAAATATCTCGTGCAATGAACTTTAGGAAACGAAAGTCAAAACAAGGACGATAAATCTTCCCTAGAAAAAAGACAAAACATGATCAGTACAAAGACAAATTGTAAATCGAGAAACTTGCAAAAATAACCTTTCATCTAACCCTTTGTGATTTCGTTCATTTTTCCCAGAAGATTCGAATCCAAAAAAAAGACGGAGCTCCAGTTCCTACTAATTATAATAAAAATGTCAAACTTCCCAAACTAATTCCACCTCCCATCAAAGTGCACTCACACTATGGATTTCCACTCTGCACCTGCACTTGCATCTATCTTGCATTCGTATTGCACTAAAAGGTATCGCTACGAATTGCTCCGGGAGTGGCACATTAGAAACAGAATCCAAGTTGGACAAACGAACAGAACTTTGGTAAAATGTCGGCATTATTCGGTTGTGCTCAATATCATGATAAAATGTGACTCCACTACAATAAATCTTCAGAGTTATTTTCAAAAAAGGAAAAAAACATGATTCAAATTTGGGAAGTGACTATCGGACGTCATGTCGGTTTTGTCTCAAAATCTGAAAAATCAATAATTCCGACATCACAAAAGCAAAACTTATGGAAAAGATGTTTTATGTTGCACGCTGTTTGCCATTCCTCCATCTTTTGTGAAAAAAAGTAAAATATCTCACTTTCCACCCAGCTGCACCAATTCTATGTTAGACGGTATTTTACTCCAAAAAAGGCTGTTGTTCACGGATAAACTTCAGTGCTACAAGAAGAAAACTGGCATTTTAGCAGAACTTTCCAAAAAGTAAAGGTGATTACATTCTGAAAATGACATTTTCGCCTTCGTTCAGATATCAATGAGGCTCCTTCCAAGCGCTTAGTATTCAACTTGCAAGAAACTTTGCATAAAAAAGGGCAGGTATTACCTTTGCGAAAGGCCAGTTCTTACAAAAGCAACCTTAGCAGTCATGAGTCGGTTCATACAGTGAGATAGAAAAACTTGGTGCTACTACAAATTTCCAAAGCGTTAATATTGAACCAAAATCGTAGATTCTCTTTGAGGCAGATTTCTCGTTTAGTTTTCTGGTTCTGGTTTGTGAGTTAGTGTTCGCGTCATCGATTGGTAACGTTCGTTAAATATGCCCTATCGAACACAAAACCAGTCCATTGTTCTCTCACTAAACGCGAAGTGATAGCATGAAGGATGATGATGAATACGCGTCATTCACAAGCATCTTTCATATCGGTTCGCAAATCGAAAGATAAGAACGAATATGCTACAAGATGGTATAGAACGATGTTCATGAGCACGATAATCTGCTAAGATAAAATTTTAGTGCAACAAAAAAAACTTAGAGCATGCGAGATTCTACACCAAAAGAGTTCTGCAAATTTACACTTACGGTCTCATTTGCACTCTCTAGTTGCAGCTGTCCGAGCAGATTATTAGCAAACAATTAAACATCCGAGCTCAATAATTTTCCAAAGAAGGGTCTACCAAGTTCTACCAAATACATTACAAAATAAGTTTCTGAGATGAGGTGATTTCATTTTAAAAAAATGATTATATGCGAGAACAGGCAGCCATACAAGAAGAAGATGAATCAGGTTGAGTTGAAACGTACAAACAAACAGCAAATTGTAAGCAGAGATGGCAACTATGATTTGAAAAAAAAACCGCTTTCAGTGAAGTCATTGCATAGCATTTTCAGCAGACTATATGGGCTCAAGGGTACTCGACGAGCATGAAAAAAAACGAAAAAATCAAAAAAAAATTGTGGACTGAAGCCAGAATGCGAAACGAAACAATTGAAAAACAGTGTTCGATTATTGATATGTGAATTTTTGACCGTATGTAAACTATTAAGTCATTACACAATCCACGATGCATGAAAGAAAAAAAAATCGATATTCTTCGTTTTTGCGCTAATCAACGTAGAGATGGGTCAACATCGCTAAAAATTGAAAAAAGAACTTTCTGCGGCACGGACGGGAATATGGTGAGGTTCGATAATGACTACCAAAACCTACATAGGTCAGTCAACGTGAGAATCTTAAAGACTCGTAGAGCACCGTATCAATACTTTTTTCAGCGCAACATATCCCCTAATGGAACCAGTGGAATTACCACAAGCCAATGAAAAGGTAACGGTTGTATCAATGAAAATTAGATGGATGATCTGTTTCAAAGTGTATGAAAGCAGAAAGACAACAACATTCCAAGCCGCCAAGGATTTTGATTTGCTCTCATTTTTGTAAGCACTTTCACAACTTCTCTCTACAAGCGCTCTCAACAGATAGTTCTGCGAATATTCTATACATTCATGTTTGAAAATATCGTACATCCACCACATCTGTTCCCAAATCAACGTGGCTGCCTTTCGATCGTTCTAACACGTTAAATCTAGCAAATTTGAGGCGCTTATCCGAAATGACATGTTAAAATGATCGAAAGAAAGTCACGGTGATATTTCACATGGGAAATTTCTTGAGGATGTACCTAGCACACTGAGCACACGCAGCGAAATGGAAAAAAAAAGCGTGATGGCTCTACAAAGAAAAGCAATCGGCGTATACCACTTCGATGGTCTATATGACCCCGATTATTAGTACCCGAGGCTGTTCTATTTATCACCCAACAGCTTCCGTTTTTTCCTTTCTTTTAGAGATATCACATTTTTTCCATCGAATTTTTCCTTCACATCTCTGCCACTCTCCAACGCTGATTATCCTCGCTCGTTGTCCAGCGGCGTCGGTGGCGGTGGCGGCATCAGCGCGGCTAGCCCCCCGGCCGATGATTAGGTTGCACGGCCGGCAAGAAGCTGGCGCAGTCGCGGTGGCTGCGGCGGCGGCGGTCGCGCCGTCTGCGCTCTCGCATGACCAGCGCCGACGCTGAGTCTCTGACGATTCGGCCGACGCCGCCGTCGCTGCTGTAAGAGAGCGCCATGGCGGCGTCGATCGATCGCCCCGAGGGCAACCCACTCCAATACTCTACCCTCACCCCCCCCCCTCTTTCTTCCCCCATACACACATACGTAACCACTCGAATCACACATCAGGAACAACAACAGAACAGGTTGCAAACCTTAAAAGGCAGATTTGCACCGCTGATGTCACAAAATATCAGAAAAATGGAAAATAGTGTGAAAAATAGCAACCACTGACAAAGGGAAAATCGAATAGATGCACTTGATCAGCGTGGATTCGCAAAAATGCTGCCACTTCATAATTTTGGGAAAATATGAAAATCAAAGAAAATGGGGCTGACCGAGAAAAAAAACTAGAAACTCTTGCGAAACAGGGAGATCTGGGATGTGGAGAGAATATGCGCAAGCAATAAGGAAGGTGATCTATATGAGGAAAATGCAATCCCAGAAATCTAACGACCAAAAAAAACATCCACAAAAATAAGAAAATGTAAAAAGTAGCAAAAAGTGAAATGAACGAACCTAATAAGAGAAGTTTGAGCTCTCGTCGTGCATTACGTTTATCACGTTGGAGCTGTTTCTCGATCTCCTGGTTGATGCGCTTCTGCTCGCGCGCCTCCTCCGATAGACAGCAGGCCATCGTGAGACGCGCTCCAGAATCCTCCAACAACGGGGGCTCGCACAACCACTGTTGTCAGCTTGTGCGGCGGGGGGCTCACTATTCTTCTTCTTCGGTCGGTGCTCTTCTGCTTGGTGAGTTGATTCTATCACGAATTAATCAGTGACATCAGGTCACGGACATCACCCGCAACAACGACACGTAGCAGAATGGGAGGCGGACTCGACGCGGCGACGAGACAGAAACGGCGCGCTCTCTCGTCCAGCAAAAGGTGATCCGCAGACGACCGAACCACGGCGACCGCGACGCACCGCCGCACGCACGCGCCGTCGCGTCCTCGACACCCCGCTACCGTATGCGGCGGCCGCCTAGGACCAGCTCCCGGCTGGAGATGGTTTCCTTGATCGCTCCTCAAATCTTTGTGATGGGTTTTCTGACCATTCGCCTTGGATTCTTTCTGCTAGCTATACCTGCAAGTATCCTGAGCACTTCCGAAACTAGAAAGTTCCTAAAGCTCAAAATTTGTTGTGTATGTGTCGTGAGGCATCGAAACTTCAGTGTCCACAGTATAAGAACCTTCTATTCATCGAATAACAGCTGAACATATCTATCTTCACCTCTGAGGAACAACGAAGTTGTTGAAGAAAACAAATAAACAGCAAAGTTTGGCATTTGTTTGGTTAAATTTTATTCTTCTGTTTCGTTGTCGAACTATTTAACTACTATTCAACTTCTTTCTGACTTAGGTTAGCTTCTGCAAAAGTTTCATCTGTTCAGATTTTGTTTAACGTGAATCCGCAAAGCTATGGAGATTTGTTTACACCTAGATTTTAACGAAAAAAAAGGAAGTTGGAAATCATGAATGATATTTCCTGGGTAAAGTATACATACAGTGCGTGACCCTGGCTACTGTGAAATGAAAATAAGGGATTGGGACCTGACAACGCAAATCTTCACTGCGACAAGTTCCTCTTCGAACCTTGGACTCAGCACAGCGGCCAAGTTTTCTCTTACTCAGAAAGGAAAAATGTCAGTGTTTCACTCAACAAGGAAATGTCGAAATGTTTAACAAAACAAATTACTGCGCACTAAGCTGTAGCAAATAAACCCAGTCTGTTTCTCACAAAGCGGTAGGAAATTTCCAGCTCTTTTTAGGTTAACAACGAATATTGTTCATCACTATGAATACATAAAAACATAGCTGATGTATTACTAGCATAACGCATTTGATATTCTGTATTTTTTACAAACATATTTGAAACATCTCCAAAGGTTGTCTATTGATTATGTTGTGGTCATTTGTGTTGTAATGTTGTCATGAAA